CAAATGAAGAACACAGTGCACCTGTGACAATAGCTACTGCGATGGCCAGGAGTGACTTCTGGCTGTCCTGCAGCTTCTGCAATGGAAAGAGTCTAAACAAATCTTCCTCCCCAAGGAAGCCTTTGAGGAGTGGAAGCTTCAGGAGGAACAGGCAGAGAGATGTATATATATGTATACATATATATATATATATGTATATACATATATATATATGTGTGTGTGTGTGTGTGTGTGTGTGTGTTACACACACAGAGGTAACGAAAACTTGATTTACCATAAGATATTCATTTACAAAATGAAAAGATATCACAGGTTCTTATCTGCCCACACTGGTCCTGCCACTGTACTTGTAGTCACAGTAATATTACCTATAATTATACTGATGTCTACACATATTCAAAAACAGTATTAACAATGAGAATTGTTATCTGTGGGTACAGATATGGTTAAACAGAAAAGAGTGGCCCTTTCTACCCTCTTGACCACTGCACACATGTAGGCTGTTTTCCCCCCATTTTGTTATGAACATTTTCAAACAAACAGTACAGCTGAAATAATTTCCTAGTGAACACTCTGTATCCACCACCTAGGTTCTACCATTAACCTTTTTTGTTAGGCTTAGTTTATCCCATGTGTATCTATTCTTCTCTCCATCCATCAATCCATCTTATTTTGTAAATTACAAATGTCAATACATATCACCCTAAATATTACATCATGCATATTTTTAACTTGTTACTTTGAGGTAAAATTTATATACAATGAAATGCACAAATCTTATGTGGGCATTCACTGAGATTTGACAAATGCATACAGCTCTTTAATCCAAACCTACCAGGCTACAGTATATTACCATCACCCCAGGAAGTTTCCTCATGCCTCTTTCCAATCACCCCTGTCCTCACTCCCCAGGGCAACAAATGCTGTCATCTTTTTTCTACCATAGGTTAGTTTTGCCTTTTGTAGAATTTTATGCAAGTGGGATCATGCTTCCACTCAGCATAACTAACACTCTTACTAATGAGCTCAGATAAAAGAGTGTAGGGACAATTTACTTCCTTCTGGTCTCCAGTGTGTTGAGACACTCATTTGCTGCTGCTGCCACCCCGGCTGGCCACTTGATGTAGCAGCTAGTTGTGGGTCTTGCCACAGTCTGTGAAACTGATGATAGTGCCAGGCCACCATTCACTGGGATCAGAGGAAAATGGAAATCCTAAGTTAGGCATTTATGGAATGCGTGCAGGAAGCAGACACTGCCCAATCCTATTGGAGAGTACATAGGGAGGAGTCAAAACAGTCTGGCGCAGTGGTTTTTGTCATTAATCAGGGAGTGCAAATCTGCAACTCTCTTATTGTTTGATAATACTTTTATTTTGCAATAAATCTTCTGGGCAACAATGAGCCGTTTTTTTTTTAACATCTTTATTGGAGGATAATTGCTTTACAATGGAGTGTTAGTTTCTGCTGTATAACAAAGTGAATCAGCTATACATATACATATGTTCCCATATCTCCTCCCTCTTGCATCTCCCTCCCACCCTCCCTATCCCACCCCTCCAGGTAGTCACAAAGCACTGAACTCATTTCCCTGTGCTATGTGGCTGCTTCCCACTAGCTATCTATAACTAAACTAAAAGTACACATTTAGTGAACAATTAAATACTAAGCTTCTGTATCTCAAGACAAATGATGATGAAAGTGTAACGTGCACAAAATATGCTTGGCATTTACTATCAAATCCCTCACTACCAAGGGTAAGATCCCTTTTAGTTAGGGTGTCATAGCCATATCACCAACCACTTGAAAACCAGAAGGCACAAATCTGCTGCAGAAGAAGCATCAGCATCTGCTTAATCCTAAGTGGATATTTAAAGAATGTGCCCATAGATAATGACTGCAGCTACAGAATGTACATTTACAAATCACTTTACGAAGCATAGCATTTTCACTTAGATCAATGGAATATTTTCCTAAATTAATTTTACTTGTTTTCACTTTCAGGTTTCTTGTGCACATTTGAAAAGTAAAGTATTGGGCAACTGAGAAGGGAAAAAATGGAGAACTTTGCAAACAGTTAAGTAATTCCAGTTTTACCACTGATACTTCAGATAGAAAGTCAGTTCAGTTATTTTCTGATATTGGATTTCTTTTTAAAATCCAATTCATGGAGTCCAAGGAAAGCTTTGGAAGTTCATCCTGTCCAAAGGGAAACACTTGAGGATTTTTTGAATGTTGCTGTAAATTCAATTAAAATGCTTAACAACGATGATAAACTTATTTGCTTTTCCATTAATAATATAAAAGCAAATTTTGGTGAAGCATAGCCATATAGTAAAAACTGTTCTTACTGAATGAAAACAGCCTGTGGAGCCAAATTGTACTCAAAATTGGTTGGGTGAACACATAAGCCATAATTTTGTACAAACAAGTCACAGTATTTTACCAATTTTAAAAAAAGCTGTCATTGTCAAACTTTATGCACACACGTACACACCCACAACAACTAAACTACCAAATGTTTTGTGACAAGGTTAATGTTGAAATTTAAAAAACTCCAACACGTTGGCACAGTAATATGAGCTTTATCTCCTTGCTGCTCGTGATCAGTCAGATTTAAAACATTTTTAAGTCTTTGAATTTTTATTTTATAAATCAGCCTGTGTCCTATAATGTATTGAATTTTTGTTTATTTAAAAATGAGAGCTCTAAAATTTGATTGAACTCAATTTAAAATCAGTTGGAAATCTTTAAAGTATGCAATAAATGGAAAGCTCCCAAAGTGCAACTTTTGAAACTTTTGGAGAACTGCCATGAATAAAAGCAAAGCTTGCAAACAAGAAGATCCTGAAATATTTTCTTATTAAAGCAAAGATGGAACTGAACAAATAAACTAATGATCACTCAAACAGTATATGAGATTTGATTTGGAAAATTGGTAATTGAGTTTGGAATGTCTCAACATGTAGGAAGAATAATTTGATGGGGCTTCTATTTTTTTTATTAGATAAATTGGTATTCTGTGCCAGAATGAAGTAAAAAAAAACCTATGATTTTTCACCATTTAAATCTGATGAAGCATTAAAAATAATAATAAATACAGGCAATCTTTACAGTAAATTTTGTCTTTAAAAATAGTTGTCAAAAATAGTTACTCCAAATGGAAGCTGAAAGATAGTATCTGAAATATTTAGGCTGAAATATTTAGTTCTTTCAATATAGAAAAATATTTTTGAGAATATCCTTCATCCAGCAAAAATCACCTTGCTCTTACCAGCATCTATAAGTTATTTTCTCAATTAAAAATATTTTTTTTTACTACAAATGACTCAGCTGAATATGTCAAGAATTTCAAATTAACCATAAATTACAATTTGAAGATCTCAAAAATCTTATGAAAAAAATCCACGCAAAAATAGAAATATATTGAAGGGACTTCCCTGGTGGTCCAGTGGTTAAGAAGCCTCCTGCCAATGCAGGGGACACATGTTCAATCCCTGGTCAGGGAACTAAGATCCCACATGCCGCAGGGCAACTACTGAGCCCGCGTACCACAACTAGAGAGCCCACGTGCCGCAACTACAGAGCCCATGCACTCTGGAGCCTGCTCGCCACATCTAGGGAGAAGCCCGAGAAGCCCACGCACCGCAAATCAATGAAGAGCCTGCACGCCGCAAGGGAATATCCTGCATGCTGCAACTAAGACCTGAAGAAGCCAAAAATAAATAAATAAATAAATATTTTTAAAAAGAAATATACTGAAAAAAGTTCTTCGGAAAAATACCGGTGACACCGTTTTAGAGTTTAAAATGGCTAAGAACGAGTAAGCAGAGCACAGAAGATTTTTAGGGCAGTGAAAATACTCTGCCTGATACTATGATGGTGGATACATGTCATTACACATTTGTCTAAACTCATTGAATGTATGCCTCCAAGAATGGACCCTAATATAAACTATAGACTCTGGGTGGTAACGATGTGTCAATGCAATAAATGTACCACTCTGGTGGGAGATGTTGATAATGGGAGAGTTGTGCATGTGGCAGGGGGCAGGAGGTATAAGGGCAGTCTCTACACCTTCTGCTCAGTTTTGCTGTGAATATTACTCAGCCATAAAAAAGAACGAAATTTTGCCATCTGCAGCAACATGAATGGACCTGGAGGGTATTATGCTTAGTGAAATAAGCCAGACAGAGACTGTATTTTCACTTATATGTGAAATCTAAAAAGTAAAACGAAAGATTGAATATAACAAAACAGAAACACTCACAGATAGAGAACAAACTAGTGGTTACCAGAGGGGAGAGGAGTTGGGGGGAGGGGCAAGACAGAGGAAGGGAGTCAAGAGGTACAAACTTCTAGGTATAAAATATTAATAAAATACAAAGATAGGGGCTTCCCTGGTGGCGCAGTGGTTGAGAGTCCGCCTGCCGATGCAGGAGACATGGGTTCGTGCCCCGGTCTGGGAAGATCCCACATGCCGCGGAGTGGCTGGGCCCGTGAGCCATGGCCGCTGGGCCTGCGCGTCCGGAGCCTGTGCTCTGCAACGGGAGAGGCCACAACAGTGAGAGGCCCGCGTACCGCAAAAAAAAAAACAAAAAAAACCAAAGATATAATGTGCAGCACAGTGAATATAACCAATATTTTATAATAATTTTAGTATTTTAAATGGAGTATAATCTATAAAAATATCAAATCACTATGTTATACTCCTGAGAATAATATAAATCAACTATACTTCAATAAAAAATATATATCTTAAAGGATAAAAATCACTAAGAAACTGATTGAAGAACAAGGTTATGTACCAAGAATTACTATTCTAATTATTATTTTTAATGGTCATATAATCAATATTTAGACATTTAAAGTTTTTGCATAAATATACATGGATACATGTTACTTTCAGTTTATTAGAAATAATTTTTGAAAATATTTTTGAACAGGAGTTGTCATTCTATCAATATAACAAAACTTTTCTCAGTCAATAAATATTTCAAAACTATGTAACAAATTATTTTAACACTCCTTTCTCCTCTCTAAAGTGTGTTGTCATCCTACTTTTGAGGGCAATTAAAAGAATACTATGCATCCTGAAAGCAGTCCTCAAAAGGGAGCAAAGGCAATGGGATAACCAGGGCACTTCTGAAGCAAGACACTTGATGAAGGACAGTAGTCATGTAGAACACCCAGCAGAAAAAAAGAAAAGGTCGGTTCCATTGACTCTGTTTTCTTGTCTGAAAAGAAAAGTTTGTCTTAAAGTAGATCCTACAAACCAGAGTGTGGGAATCACCTGGAATATTTTAAACAAACACTGATCCCAAATCTCCATGAGTGATGGAGAAAATGCAGAAATCCGCATTTTCAAAGGCTCCCGGGAGATGCTGAACCAGCTGCCTACTCAATAGTATGCATATACATATGTATATGATATATGTGTGTGTGCATGCACACAGACGTGTGTGTGTGTATATATATATATTTAATGGATATACACCAAAATGTTAGCCATAGTTAAGTTACCTTTGGATGGCACTATGGGTAATTTTTTAATGTATTTTCTCATTTTTGTTTGCCCATATTTTTTTAATTTTCTACAAGGAACATCTATTTCCTGTGCCATGTTGTAAATTTTCAAAGATGTTCTTTATTAAATGCTTTTTAATAAAAGCAAACAAAATTTTTCCATATGTGTATAAATACTTCATTTTGACCTTTTAGTTTAATCTCTACTTCTTGAATTACTTTTCTGTGGAGAATACTTGGATAATTTTGCAAGTGATGGTAAAATACACCTAGCATAAAATTTTCCGTTTTAACCATTTTTAAGCATACTGTTCCGTGGTATTAAGTACATTCTCATTGTTGTGCAACTATCACCACCAACCATCTTCAGAGCTCTTCATTGTGCAAAACTGAAACTCTGTACTGATTGAACAACTCCATATTCTCCCCTTCCTCCAGCCCTTTGCAACCATCATTCTGCTTTATGTCTCAATACATTCTGAGTACTCAAAGTATCTCGTATAAGCGGAATCATACAGTATTTGTTCTTTAATGACTGTATGATTATTTCACTTAGCATAATGTCCTCAAGGTTCATCCATGTTGTAGCATGTGTCAGAATTTCCTTCCTTGTTAAGACTGAATAATATTCTATTGCATGTATATACCACATTTTCATTATCAATTCATTCATCCATAGACACATTGCTTCCATCTTTTGAATGTTGATAATAATGTTGCTATGAACATAGGTGTACACATATCTCCTTGATTCTCTGCTTTCAATTGTTTTAGGTATATACCCAGAAGTGAAATTGCTAGATCATATGGTAATTCTGTTTTTAACTTTTTGAGGAACTGGCATGTCAGCTTCCATAGTGACTGCACCATTTTACATTCCCACCAACAGCACACAGGGTTACAATGTCTCCACATCCTTGCCAACAGTTGCTCTTTTCTATTTTGTTTTGTTTTTGTAGCAGCATCCTAATGGATGTGAAGTGGTATCTCATTGTGGTTTTGATTTGCATTTCCCCAATGATTAGTGATTTTGAGCATCTTTTCATGTACTTGTTGGCAGTTTTTATATCTTCTTTAGAGAAATGTCTATTCAAGTCCTCTGCCTATTCTTTTAATTGGGTTGTTTGTCTCTTTGTTATTGAATCATGGACATTTTTTGTATATTCTGCATCTTAACACCTTATCAGATATATGACTTGCAAATATTGTCTCCCATTCAGTGGGTTGCCTTCTCTGTTGATTGTGTCCTTTGATGCAGAGAAGTTTTAAATTTGGATGTAGTCCAATTTATTTATGTTTTCCTTAGTTGTCTGTGCCTTTAATGTTATATCTAAGAAATCATGGCCAAATCCAATGTCAGGAAGATTTTCTTTTATGTTTTGTTCTAAGAGTTTTACAGTTTGCTCTCATATTTAGGTCTTTGAGTTATTTTTTTGCAGGTGGTGTAAGATAAGGTCCAACTTCATTCTTTTGCATGTGGAAATCCAGTTGTCCCAGCACCATGGATTGAAACCACTGTCCTCCCCCTATATGGTCTGGGCACCCTTGTCAAAAATCATTTGACCATATGTGTGAGTGTTTCTGGGCTCTCTATTCTATTAAACTAGTCAAATGTCTGTCTGTATGCCTGAACCACACTATTGATCACTGAGTTGGAAATCAGGAATTGTGAGGCCTCCAGCATTGTTCTTCTTTTTCAAGTTTGTTTCGGCTCTCCAGGGTCCTTTGAGATTCCATATGAATTTTAAGATGGATTTTTCTATTTCTGGAAAATATATCTTTGGGATTTTGAGAGCAATTGCATTGCACCTATAGATCACTTTGGATAGTATTTACATCTTAACAATGTTAAGTCTTCTAATCTGTGAACACTGAATGTCTTTCCACTTTTTGGTGTTTTTTTATTTCTTTCAGCAACATTTTGTAATTTTCAGTGTATAAATCTTTTGCCTCCTTGGTTAAGTTTATTCCTAAGTATTTTATTCTTTTAGATGCTATTGTAAATGGAATTGTTTTCATTTCCTTTGAAATTCCTTTTTAGTATATAGAAATGAAACTGATTTTTGTGAGTGATTTGGGGGTATTTTTCCCCTTTTTTTGGAGTTGGAAATGTTCTATATTTTGCTATGAGTGGATTACACTGAAGTATACTTATATAAAAATTCACCAATTTGGACAGCTAAGATTTTTGTTCTTTACTGCACATAAATTAATCCTCAAAAAAGTAAAAAGTTATGAAATATTCCAAGCAAAAAAAGTGTGAAGGATCATCCTTTTACAGAACACCTTAAAAATAACAACCGAGTCAGTTGGAGTCTTAGGTATAGACAGGTTCTTTCCCACTCCATCCCATCCCAGGTAACCTCCAATCTGAAATTGCTGAGTATTATTCTCTTCATGGTTATTTTAATGGTAAGTTCACATTATGGGTTCTCCACCCAAATCTAGAAGTCCTTATTACTTCTTCTATTTGAAATTTTAAAGTCAATTATTAAGTTCAGTGACGAAAGTTATCAGAAGAATACTTTTCCTGAAAATTATTTTTCCTTAGGGATAAAAAAAGGAAAATCAAAACCCTTCTCAGTGTAGCCTCAAATGCTGTACAGTCAAGTCACCCTGCAGATGGGGATGGGCTGTTGGTCATTCTCTGGGTCAGCAGGATTGTTACTTGGACCATTCTCTCCTCAACCTCTTGCTCCAAGTCACCCTTATACTGGCACAAAGCCTCTCTGACCTCTATGTTTTGGCAGCATCTTCTGAAACGGGATCTCAAATGTGTCAAGATCATGATTTGTTTTAAATCATTGTTTCCCACTTAATTTTTTCCTGCTTCTTGTTCTTCTTCCACTCATTTCTTTTATTTGACATTTTTCTTGTTTCCTGAGGCAGGCTTGCATCACTATAAACTTCCCTTTTAGAACTTTTCTTGTGCCCCACAGATTTTGTATCATTGTGTTTTTATTTTCATTTGTCTCCAAGTATTTTTTTATTTCGTCTTTGATTTATTCAATGACCCATTGATTGTTTAGTAGTAGCATTTTGTTTAGCTTCTATGTGTTTGTGTCTTTGAAGTTTTTTTCCTGTAGTTGATTTTTAGTCTCACAGTTTTGTGGTCAGAAAAGATGCTTGATATGATTTCAATTTTCTTAAATTTACTGAGGCTTGTTTTGTGTCCTAGCACGTGATCTATCCTGGAGAATGTTCCATGTGCACTTGAAAAGAATGTGTATTCTGCTGCTTTGGGATGGAATGTTCTATATGTATCTATTAAGTTCATCTGCTCTAATGTGTTGTTTAAGGCCAGGGTTGCCTTATTAATTTTATGTCTGGATGATCTGTCCATTGATATAAGTGGGGCGTTAAAGTCCCTTGTTATATTGTGTTACTGTCAGTTTCTCCTTTTATGTCTGTAAATATTTGCTTTATGTATTTAGAAGTTTCTATGTTGGGTGCATATATATTTACAATTGTTATTTCTTCTTCTTGGATTGATCCCTTGATAATTATGAAATGTCCTTCTTTGTCTCTTGTTACAGTCTTTGTTTTAAAGTCTACTTTGTCTGAGATAAGTATTGCTATCCCATCTTTATTTTTGTTGCCATTTGCATGGAATACCTTTTTCCATCCCCTTCCTCACTTTCAGTCTTTGTGTGTCTTTAGATCTGAAGTGACTCTCTTGCAGACAACATATAGATGGATCTTGGTTTTGTATCCATTCAGCCACTCTATGCCTTTTTATTGTAGCATTTAGTTCATTTACATTTAAAGTTATCATTGACAAATATATACTTCTTGCCATTTTGTTATTTGTTTTGAGGTGGTTTTTGTAGTTCTTTTCTGTTTCTTCATCTTTTGCTCTCTTCCCTTTAGATTTGATTACTATCTTTAGCTTTATGTTTGGATTCCTTTCTCTTTTTTGTCTGTGTATCTATTATAGATTTTTGATTTGTGTTACCATGAGGGGTGTGTGTGTGTGTTTTAAGTTGCTGATCTCTTAAGTTTGAACACATTTTAACAACCTTGCATTTTCACTCCCCTCACCCCCACATGTAATGTTTTTGATATCATATTTTACATATTTTGTGTGTGTGTATCCCTTAACTACTTATTGTGGATATAGATGATTTTACTACTTTTGCCTTTTAACCTGCCTACTAGCTTTATAAGTGGTTTGTCTACTACCTTTACTGTATATTTGCCTTTACCAATGAGATTTTTCCTTTTGTAATTTTTATATATCTACTTGTGGCTTTTTCTTTTCTTCTTAGAGAAATCCCTTTAACACTTCTTGTAAAGCTGATTTGGTGGTGCTGAACTCTTTTAAATTTTGCTTGTCTGTAAAACTTGATCTTTCCATAAAATCTGAATGATAGCCTTGCCTGGTAGAGTATTTTTAGTTGCAGGTTTTTTTCCTTTCATCACTATAAATATATTGTGCCACTCCCTTCTGGCCTGCAGAGTTTCTGCTGAAAAGCCAGCTAGCTGATAGTGTTATGGGAGTTCCCTTATACATAACTAGTTACTTTTCCCTTGCTGCTTTTAAGATTCTCTCTTTCATTTTTCTCATTTTAATTACAATGCATCTTGGTGTGGTCCTCTTTGGGTTGATCCTGTTTGGGATTCTCTGTGCTTCCTGGACATGGATGTCTGTTTCCTTTCCCAGGTGAGGGAGCTTTTCAACTA